TGTGTGTGTGTGTGTGTGTGTGTGTGTGTGTGTGTGTGTGTGTTTGTGTGTGTGTGTGAGGAGTGTGTGTTGTGTCTGGTCTCAGTGAAATACTCTCACAGCATATTGATCTATCAGCTCATTCAACCACAAGAACAAGACAGCAAAATATACTAGTAACACTTCAGCAGGGCTGTTATTTTACCTGAAACTAAAAACATTTTTAATTGAAATAAAGCTGAAATAAATTAAAATATTAGATGAAAAACTTCAATTTCAGAAACTAAAACTACTAAAACTGAAATAAAAATAAATAAAGCTAATTAGAATAGATTTTTATATTTTTGGTTTAACTGAAATGTAAGTTTGATTCATTTTAATAGATTTAGCTAACAATAGCAGCACCGTCAACAAATCATAGAAATATTAAAAAGTAAATAAATAAATACAAATAAAATGGCAAGCACACAACAAAATGACCTAAACCTAAACTAAAATTAAATAATAAAATTAAAACTGAAATTAAATTGAAAATACTACAGTATAATAAACGTAAAATATTTATTAAAATAAATAATAAAAGTTCATTCAAAATAATTGAACACGTCCATGATTTAATGAGCAGTGCTGTTATTCTCTGAAACTATTAAAAGCAATTTTGGTTAAAGTGAAATAAAGCTGAAATACAATATAATATTAGATGAAAAACTTACATTTAAATTTTGAAATTGAAATGTCGCCTCGGCAAATAAAATAAGTTAAAATTGAAGTGCTAAAATTATTAAAACTAAAACTGAAATCAAAATTAGCTGTATTCAAACAATAGCTGAATATTATTTTAACTTAATTTACATTAAACTGAAATATATATATATATAACACTCACACTGGAGGAAGTGCATCATATCAGTGATGTCACAATAACACACTAGAGAAACATGCACTTACAAAAAAATTAAGTACTAAAACTAAAAATGTGCAGATTTCTCTCCTGATTCAGACCAGGCCACTTCTTCACTGGAGGAAGCGTTATTATGGATTATGAACTCGTATTTGAGTTAAAAACGTCTTAATGCTGGATTAGTTTCAGCTTTTATCTTCTCCAGATGTTAACTGATGGACTGGAGTGCTGTGGATTACTTGTGGATTATTGTGATGTGTTTATCAGCTGTTTGGACTCTCATTCTGACGGCACCCATTCACTGCAGAGCATCCATTGCTGAGACACTGATGCAGTGCTACATTTCTACAAATCTGATGAAGAAACAAACTCATCTAGAAACAAACTGAACTGCAGGATTTGAGTTCTAATGCACGAGTCCAACAGACAAGCAATAGAGCTCAAATACAGGAGAAATCACCACCTACTTTCACTGCATGGAAAATAAAGCTCATGCATTCTGCCTAAACATCTTCTTTAGTGAATTAATACAGTCATACAGGCTTGGACTGAGATGATGGTGACAGAACTGAAGATCTGAAATATAATGCCACTAATATACAGATCCAGCAGATGAACTAGTGAGGTCATGTCTTGAGATCCTCAACCTCCTTAAGATGAGTGCATTGAACCGCATGACAGTGTGTGTGTGTGTGTGTGTGTGTGTGTTTCCCCTACCAAGTAAGTACTGTAGTATATGGGTATGTAATCATCCAGAACCATTGTAATACCATGTTTGATACTTTATCAAAGTGTATTTACCATAGTATTCTTTGAGTAAGGAAAAATCTGGCCATGTTTATATGTTAATCACCGTTCCATGGTAATATCATAGTATTCCCACTAGTACTTTGAATTAACTATTGTCTTATATAGACATGGTAATCATCCAGTCTCATGCAATACCATGTTTTTGGACATTTACCATGGTAATATTGGGATTCTTTGAAGTACCTTAGAATAAATACTGTAAATTGCATGGTATATGTCAGTTCACCATGGATGGTATTTTTGAAGTAGCTTGGAGGAGTGCTATGTAATATAATGGCACATGTACATTCATTACCATATTAAAGTACATATACCATGTTATTCCTTAAGTACTTTTTGGACACTGTACCATGGTATCCTTCAAGGTACATTGGAATACCATGTAAATTTTACCATGGATATGGTAATCATCCAGTACCATGGTATTACCATGTATTTAGACATTTACCATAGTAATACTGGAACTCTTTGAAGTAGCTTGGAGTAAATACTCTAAATAATATGGTGCATGTCCATGGTATTTTTAGAAGTAGCTTGGAGTGCTATGTAAATATAATGGCACATGTGTATCTGGTACTTTATTAAAGTGCATATACACTATAATGCACCATTTTTTATTCTTTCCATATGTAGCATGGTACTTTTTTTAAATAGCTTGTATGTGCATATATGCAGCTAATCATTGAGTACCATATAAAAATGTATATACCATGGTCTTGTCTATGTGTTAGTCACTCAATATTAATATTTTTGACACTAATATTATAAAGCACGTGTTTTAGACATTTGGTACCAGTGTAATATCATGGTATGCCTTACTTGGAGTGCCATGCTGCTACCATCCAATGATCTTTCAGTGCCATGGTATATATGACAGTAGCATGGTATTACCACAGTACAGCAGTGAACGCACACACTCACCTGTCTGTAGTGTGTAGGACAGCCTGGTTTCGGTCAGGTACGGTGTGTCGCTCTTGGATCGAGCTCTTCCGATGGGCCGCCGGTCCACATCCTCCAGCTCGGGCGCCGCCGCCGCCGCCATCAGAGCCGCGGGACTCCCGGTGCAGCCCCCGGTAACGGCGAGGTACAGTCACGGTAGAGAAGCGGAAGAGGGGGAGGGATAGAGACTCCTCCTCACTCCGTTAACCGATCAACCGACACGACACACGCGAGGCAGAAGCGTGCAGACCGTCAGTCGCATCCCGCCCTGATGCAGCAGCAGCACACGGATGAACGGACACATCCAGAGCGCGTGGAATCCTACTACCGTTACTAACCGGGATGATGTGGAGAGTCTGCACCGATGCGGCGGAGAGCGAACCTCACGCGTTACACACGGCAGATCGCATGCCACTCGCATGCAGATGCAGTAAACACCGGGGAAAACGGCACCGATGTCCGTGCAGCTGTGACATCATCACCGGCGCCGAACATTGATCCGGAGCACTTCACCTGTCTACGGTTCCGAGCTGACTCACACTGAACCGGACAATAGAAGCGGCTTTAAATTCACTTGGTTTACCATTGCAAACTGGAATACGCATACAGAAATGCAAAGAGCTAATTTAAATGCAAGCTGAAATTAACAAATCCTATATGAAGAGTTTATTTGCAAAAACTCTGTTTTTTTTATTTTCAAAAATCAAGTTTTTTATTATGTTATCATCTTTTTATCGTGTTTTATTGTGTTAGTTAGCTGTGTTTTTTTGTGTGTTTTTTTACTTAATCAAAATAACCCAGCTGCAGTTTGATTGAGATTAATTGGAATGCGCAATAAAAAACATGATTTTTGAAAATTGTTAAAAACGCAGTTACCTGTTTTTGCATGAACTCTTCATAGACACACACACACATACACTATATTTCCAAAAGTATTGGGACACCCCCCTTCTAATGAACAGGTTTGACTACTTTAGTCATTTCCATGAGTACAAATCTTAATGTTTATGCATATAATGATATTGTAGGGAATTGCGTGCTTCTAATTTTATAGCAAGTTTGGACCCTTTTCTATTCTAACACAACAATGCCTCTGTGTATAAGGCAAGGTTCAGAAAGAAATGATTGATTGAGTCAGTGTGGAAGAACTTGACTGGTCTGCAGAAACCTTGAGCCAGAAACTCATCAGCAAACACCAGTGACTTGTACATATGGATAAAGTCATTTTAGACACTTCCAAAACTGGTGCAACAGAGATGGAAATACAATTTTTAAATACATGAATTATGTTTCCATCTTTGTTGCCACAGTTTTGGAAGTGCCTTTTTATGTTCTAAAGAAGGGGGTTCCAATACTTTTGTCCATATAGTGTATGAACAAGTCACTGGTGTTTGCTGATGAGTTTTTGGCTCAAGGTCTGCATTTAAAGTCACAGCAGACCAGTCAAGTTCTTCCACACTGACTCAGTCAATCATTTCTTTCTGAACCTTGCCTTACACACAGAGGCATTGTCGTGTTAGAATAGAAAAGGGTCCTGTTCAAACTGTTGCTATAAAATCAGCAGCACACAATTCCCTGGAATATCATTATATGCTTAAACGTTAAGATTTGTACTCATGGAAATTACTAAAGTAGTCAAACCTGTTCATTAGAAAGAGGAGTCCCAATACTTTTGGCTATACGTATATATATTGCCAAAAGTATTGGGACATTTCTGCACTCTTCTTAGTTTACATGGTTATTCATTTTATTTCAGTGTGCTTTTATAGGCCTACAAATTGTATAAAGTAATTTGAAAAAAATGATTAAATACCTTGGTAATTAAGGTGGTTATTTGAGTTGTCAATCCACTTTTGAGAATCCATTTGTTAAATAATATAAAGCTTAAATATTCCACAGAGTTAAAATGCGAGTTTGTTTTGAGCGACCCGTCTAGTTCTAAAGAACAACACCGACTCAACCAATGGCGTGTGTTGGGGGTGGGGTTATCTATTTGTTCGACCAATGGCTGACGGGGGGCGTGTTCTGTGTATTTTTGCGGTTCCTTTTGGTGGCGAAATTACGTACTTCACTGTTACATGACTTCTTAGAAACTCTGCTATAGAGATCACAATATTGACAAAAAGACGTGTTCCTGTTCTGCAGGACATTTGTAAAAATGTATATGCGTAAGTAGGCCTATTTCTATAAAAGCATTTAACAGACTTTCAAAAATATACTCAGACACTTTTAAATTATAATTAAAAACACCTTCAAACATCTTTATTAATTAACTGACAAATACTCATGTTAATATTACTATATTAAATGTTAATAAACTGATTTGTATTATTTGATCAAACTAGCACCAAAAAAAGATTACATAATGTGT